TGTGGAGGACTTTCTCATATCATGATGTATTGTTGTGAGTAACGTGTTACCATGTGGTGCAGATGGTGAGCTGCGTGGTGCGGGGCGTGGAGCAGGTGGGGCTCCGCGGACGGCCCCGCCCCCGCGCCCGGGCTCAGCCTCATCTCTGCAACACACGTACATACATACCAATATTTGATAACCAATCAATTTACTCAATTAAGTTTCAATATATAAATATAAACATGTTTCGATGAATTATCTTTAAGCCTCGTTAATCCTGAATATGGTGCGTTGACCTCCGTACAAGAGTTAAGAAAATTAGTCCCTTATTCAGAATTGTAATTGTACAAAATGTACAACTGCCATATTGAAGACTCGTTTAATTATCCATACATTCTTTTAGTGATGATTTCTCACTGTAAATCTTACTAATATTATAAATACGAAAGGTTTAGATGATTGCATGTTTGTTAGAGTTTGTAGCCTAAATAGCTAAACGGAGCTCGATGAAATTTGGCATGGACATAGATTGTAGTCAAGAAGAACACATAGGCTACTTAGTTTTAATACTACGCACGGAGTCCCGGATGTAAGCTAGTATACAATAAGCTTCTTTTAGCGGACAATTTAATTCTGAGTGTGGCAATTAGTATCCACTTGGAAAAAAACCGACAGACAACAAACTTAAAAAGAATACTTGGGTAATACATCAATTGGGTTGCCTTATCACAAGGTCACAGTTACCTACAATCTTTAAGAGATAATGTATACAGACGCCTTGCAAGTGCTGCGGTTTGCCGCACGAGCACCTTGCCCAAAGTGACCGCAGCGTGTGGGGGTGGCGTTAGGGGGCCGGCGGTAGGGGAGCAATGCCGAACACTTACGCAACCCGCGGGACCGTGGTAACGCACGCGCTATGGGGAAAGTTGATCAGACAAGTGCAGCCAGCATACAAGCGGGCGAAAGGTTACGAGTGATTTTCGAACTGTATGAATTATTATGAAAAGTGCCTTCAGTACTTTAACAGCACAATATCTATCTATACATATAATAAAATTAGAGTGTTTGTAACATAAAGGAAAATTTCCAGATTTCGGGAAGATGTACGTTGCTGATACGAAAATCGCATTTAAATACTTTTTGTCTGTCTGTCTGTCTGCAAGCCGCGTTTGTTCCAGGTAATCTGCAAAACGGCTGGGATAATTTCGACCGGACTTTCACTAAAGGGTAGCTGACATAGACAGACATATTATAGGCTACTTTTTTATCTTAATAGTGCGCGAAGGTAGTCGCGGGCAACAACTAGTATAATTATAAAACTTCATATGCCATATACGACTTGAAGGCAATCGACCTGTCATGGCTCGAGACAAAACGCCAAGGACAGAGCGAGCTGGCGGCGTACTGTGGACGCCCTCTGCCCCACTTTGGGGACATAGGAAAAGAAGACAGAGAGATATATGCCTTTATGACATTTTCATGCATAAATTCAATAAGGATTCTGATACAATCAGAGGCGACTACCTCTTTTAATAAATTTATTTGGGATATTGTCATCAAACACTAATAAAACTTTAAGTAATATGCTTACAAAACTTATACAAATCATGACTTTATTTTTTTTTTAATACGCCTAGTTATCCGCACGTGACGCTTGTCGGCTCGTGGCGAAGTTGCGAACAAACACGTGCGCATTTTGGTAGAGTTCTGCTAACATCGTCTACTTGCACCATTAGAGTACCAAGTTAGTTTTACAGTTGTATTTAAAAAAAAGCTTAAAAAAGCACAATTACAGTTGCTAATTAAATTAACAAGTATTAATAAGCAAGATTTCGGACTTTAACTTTTTTATTTAACTACGAATTGTTGCCAGCGATTTCGTTGGCCGTGGAATTTAAAAAAAAGGTCGTCTGTAACATCTACTTTTTAACAGCTAACTTCCAATCAAAGTCTCGTGCAAATCGGTCCACCCGTTCCAGAGATAGCGGTCCGGTCGCCATTTTACAGCGCGGAATTTAAAAAAATGTAGCCTATAGTATGCGGGTCTATGTCAGCTACCCTCCAGTGGACATCCTGTCGAAATTGGCCCAGCCGTTTCGGAGGTTACCCGGAACAAACACGGCTTGTGGACAGACTGATATACAAAAACTTTTAATATTACAAACAGACACTCCAATTTTATTATATGTATACATATAGATATAAATTTGTAAATACACTTGATTCAATAGCGACTGCTGTCAGCTACCGGATATCTAGAAAGATCCCATAAGGTAACAATACAGCCAACCTACAACCACTGAACTCCCTTTACAATAGACAAGACTGGACAAACACTACGCATAGAGGAACGTTTATCTGTGGTCTATAACAGTGGCTATTGTTACTAGATAGTGACGTCACAGCGATGCAGAGCAGTTTGCAGTACTGCTATTAAACGCACATAGATGATATTTCTTTATATAACTTTTGACAGCTGTAACTATCTTAGAAAACTTTCATTTGTTTTCAAACAAAACACATCACAGCAATGAAATCTGTACTTTAATGTAGGTTCAATGGCAGTACTGCGTGTCTACTCACAGTTCCGTCTCCGTGTGAAAGTGGCATGAGATATAAAACAAAAGGAGCTGGCGCAGAGGAGTCGCGCAGTAGAAAGCGGCTTACGAAACCTCGGCCGCGTCCAGTACGTTCGCAAACTTTCAATCTAGATATAAATAAGTTGGCCTTATAAATCACGCTTCCTTGTGCGGAATCGACAAATTATTATGATTTTTTATAATACTGCGAGTTAAAATTGTAGATATATCGTCAAGACCATAAAGGAGAGTGACTTGTCACCTGAACAATCAAAATAACTTGTAAGGAGTCAAGAAAACGCACTCCAAGTCAGAGTGTATATATCAGAGTGCATTTTAACCAGTTAATATAAAAAGGCAAAGCGAAACTCGTTCCTCTGAACTTTTCATACGAAGAATAAATAAAAACAAGCTCGCCACTGTTATTTTTACCTTGCGGAGTCGCGAAGGCAATGGCTCTGTCGATGGCCGATAGAATAATAACCTTACAGCGCATATTCAATTATAAAAAAAACCTTTATGGCGTGTTCATGAATAAAAATAATAAAGATTATGATAGAATCAGAATCGATTACCTGGTTCACATCTCGTTTTTTTTTTGTTTTTATCATATAAGGTTGCAAACAAGCAAGCGGGCACCTGAATCCACCGAAATGGAAAGCGACCGCTGCCCATAAACATCCGCAATTGCAGATTCGTTGCCTACCCTTAACTGACGGAGAAGATGCACATAAAGAAGACATTTCCCCTTCCTATACGTCTCCTTCACCGTCAAATCCACTTTTCCTTCTCCTCCTTCCCTCTTAAGAACAGGGTGGAAATGGAAAGGGACTAAAGTTAGGCCTACGGCAGCACACTCATCAGACTATACGGAGAATTGCTTCCACTTCACGCCTGTTTTCTGTGTGTTCGTGGTATTACACCAGGCGAACCGGCCCATTCGTGGGAAGATGTCAAAGCGGGCTCTACCACTATGACTCATTGTTTACAAGTGTTATTTTCATAGCTACTTTATACGTCGTAAAAGTTATGACTTTAAAGTGTTAAATATATATTATCTTAGTAATACAAGTAACTAACCAGGACGTCGCCTCTCCGAAGGGCCCGCAGCGCGGCGCTCCGCACGCCGCGACCCTCCAGCACCAGCTCCTGCACAAAATATTGACCATCAACCTAGACCAAAAGTCCTTGTGCCTAATTTTAGTTGCCCCTTCCCAAGCCTTTATCTATACATATAATAAAATTGGAGTGTCTGCAATATCAAAAGAAAAAATCCAGATTTCGGGAAGATGTATATGCGTTGCTGATAACGGAAAATTTTTGTCTGTGTCTGTCTGTCCGCAATCGTCGTTTGTTGACGGCTGGATTTCGACCGGACTTTTACTGTCAGCTAGTAGACGGACATATTATAGGATACTTTTTATCTTAATATTGCGTGGACAAACGCGGACAACAGCTACTAACGAAATACACTTCAAAAAGGAATTACGAATAAAACACTTTGAAAATCGGTGTTCTGCGTCAGTAATGTTTAAGGCGTAATGGCTTGGGTTGAGGTAATTTAAGGTCTTATATAACTGAGTTCAGTAATAGGTCAGTGGGTCCGGATATAAAACATCTGTATGTGACGTCCGCCAGCACAGAGCCTGCAGCGACCTGCGACCTGCGATCTGGACCACATCCAAATTATCTAAGGCTATTCAAATATGTATTCGGTTGCCAGAATCTTGCTTGATATCTAATGCTGTAGACATATTTAAATCTAATTTACTTTTTTTAACTAAAATGTATCAAACTGTTCCCGTGCGGCTTCTTCCGCATAAAAGTATAAAAACATTCATTGTTTACATTTGTGAAGTTTAAAATTGCAAATTTCAAAATTAAAACAATTATCGTTACTATGACGACCTAGCTTAATTGATAACAGCTTATAGTTTTTATCTCTTTCCCGCCTGAGCATTTTTCCAATTTATTTACCCTCAAAGTATAATAGTGTTAAAATATTTAGTCTAAAGCGTGTCGTAATTGTAGGTCTTTATATTAAAGAAAGAATTATTTAACAATATGCTACGATTACTGACTTCCTACGCCACGAAGTAGTGTGTTTACGCTTTATGATGTTCGTTGTCTCTATTTCCTACAGTAAATAAAAGAGAGAAAAACATATACAGATGCAATACTGACCGACACTGAGTCTCCTCTGGTCGTGATGCTGCGGGTGGTGGGGGTGATGCGGAGGGAGGTGCGCGGGGTGCGGCCCGTGCGGGTGGCGCACTTCGCGCTTGGCGTGCGCGTGCGCGGGAGGGGGTGACGCTGCCACGCACGCCTCCTTTGGGCTTCCTGCACTGCTGCCATCACTGTAAACACATCATTGTTACTATAAAACTACAGAGATTTGCCGTCCACCATACAGGATAGAAGCGTGATATGTGCAACTGAGTTATCTCTTCTGATAAGTTCGGTTGATGACTCGACACGCACAACTGCTGATAATAGGTACGCTGCAACTTGTGTTGCAAGTATTAACACGTATGTTTGTATAACCGTAGAACACTGATATACACTTATATTCAACACATCGATAACTCCTAGGAAAACTATCGTAAGTCACAATTTTGCGTTTTAAACCTCGGTTTATATATTTTTTTTAATTGACATTATAAATATTATTTTTGTGTTTTGAATGTTATTTAGAAAAAGAACTATAGATTCTGTTTGTCTATTATCGTTATTAAGCGCTTATAATTTAAACTTTCGTCTTGCAATTTACTCGTTTCCGTAGGAGTCATAGAGTTATCTTGTTCACTGCCTTTAACAAGTGAGTTTTTTAAAATACCACATTTATCTACCATTATATAGTCCAACTAACTTAATTGGCTACAAAAGTAAAAGCAAATACAAAATACAAAGTCGCGATACACAACACGCGTACATTGTGCATGGCAACACTGGATATATAGCATAGCAAATGTTATTTGTAGGGAAGTGTTGCGGACGTCGACAGTGTTGACCACTGTCCCTAACCATAGAGAACCATAGAGTTTTTCACTTTTCTTTCTCGCTCTAACATAAACTAATTTCTTGTCATTTACATGGCTGCCATTACAATGTGGAACTTTTTTTGGTTTTGCAAATTACGATTCAAATTGAAGTTACTTGTTTACGGTTAGGTCATAAAGTGAGAAAATGGTTTTAATGTCCGACTTTAAAATGTTCAGTTTATCTATGGTGAAATGGATTGCAACGTAGAATACACTGTACATCGTCTTGGGTGTTGAGTCAGCAATCAAGATGCACAATCAAAAGATATCAAAGTTTTTGTACGTCTTAGTCATAGCAAATAAATTATTGCTTATCACGTAAAAACTACGGAGCCGATTTTAAAAAATAACATACGATAGTATATCTATTCTAATATTATAAAGAGGAAACATTTATTTTTGTATTTATTTAAATCAAAAACTACTGTAGCGATTTCAAAAATCTTTCACCAATAAAAAGCTACGTTATCAGTGAGTAACATAGGCTATTTTTTTTCTACTTTCAAGCGGGCGAAGTCGAGAGCAACGACTAGTTATATAAGACTCATATTATACGCTAAATTCTTGATTGAAGTTTCGTAGATATGCGGGAATTTTATTTGCATGCCTCTTAATATGAAAAATAGCACCCACTTCACAGATGTGAACCCTAAACCCTACGGAACGTGGGGAAACCGAGCGGTCGACGACCCCGCAGTTTTGGGAATACAAGGATGTCTATCACCGAACTAAAATGTATCTTAACACCTACGAATAAGGTCTACATTGTGTCGAGATTATCAATGCCCTTGTGGGCTCGGTTAGATGACTCGACGCGTCTTTGTCGCGTACACAAACAATACAACACGTACACGAACCAACTGAATGTGTACCTTATTGCTATAGCAACAAGGTTGATTTGAGCTTATCTTTGTGTAACAAAGAAAAATAAAACATTGGCTTCCAAAACAATGCTGTTGTGATAACAGTTGCTTTTGAATATAGACTTTATTTCTATGACAATAAGGTTCACAATAACATATAAAAAATGTTCAAAGTTTTTGTAAGACAGACTGCCTGGAACTTTGAAGTCGGTATGACGAATTTTGAGGGTATATAACAAAAAGTAATTATCACATACAGATTTCACTTATTTATTAATATAGAACCATATAGATTAAACATATTATGTAAATAACTAATTAAAAAAATGTATATTTGGTACACAAAATACTTATAATCCATTAAAATAAACTTATGAACACCAAGTTATTCAGAACAAATCCCTACTCTCGGGAATACTAGGACAAAATTGCAACATTTAAAAATAATTCACAAACCCCACAACAATATTCAACTCTAAACTTATAGCTTTAAAGTACAAAATAACCGACATTGTGTAACACTAAGCCATTCCGTACGATTTTCCGTCCTACTCTAGCGCAGGGTGGAACATACGAGTGGGAGAGAGGCAGCATTAGCAGACAATTTATCTCAAACTGGCCCTTGCTGATAGCTTGCAGACGCGGCTTGTGTTTACCTCCCAAGACCCCTATAGCTCAGAGATTATCTTGTTAAAGTACCGGGTTCGAAATATTAGTAGTATATATATATATATATATAGAGAGAGAGAGAGAGAGAGAGAGAGAGAGAGAGACTAATATTATAAAGAGGAAAGATTTGTACTTTTATATGTACTGAAATAACTCAAAAACTACACCATAAGAAAGGTAATTTATCTGCGTATAAAGGCTTGTATTTAATTATTTTCACGAGAACAAAGTCACGAGCAACAGCTAGTATAAAATAACCCTTCTGTACTTTTAAATCAGACTGAGACATAAGAGAATATTAGAGAATTATAATTATAACCTCGCGTACTCGTAGTAACCTTTGTTAAAATCCGACTGCCAATTCCTACGCGGAAAAGATTAACAATCCTCTTCCTTCATTTTCATTTCCTCGTGATTTATAAAAAAAATGTATATACGTTATAAAGCATACAAACGCAAAACGATTACGTAAACTTACGCAATTAAGTTTATTAATTCATTGTATACAACTTTTCTTAACGAATCGCCATTCAAACATATTTCCTACGGTTTTAAAGGTACAGTGGTAGTGCCCGCTTTAACATCTTAGCACTGCAGGGCTGGCACGCCCGGTGTACCACGACCACACAGAAGACAGACGTGAAATGGAAGCAATTCCAAGTTTCGTCTGATAATTGTGCCGGAGGCCTAATTTAAGTCTCTTTCGCTTTACCACCCTTTTCTTGAAGGAGAGAATATGAAGGGGTAGTGGATTTGACGGTGAATGAGATGTATAGGAAGGGGAAATATCCTCTTTATGTGCGTCCCCTCCTCCGTCAATTAAGGGTAGGCAACGCATCTGCAATTGCGGATGTCTATGGGCAGTCGCTTCGTCATTTTGGCGGATTCAGGTGGCCGCTTGCTCGTTTGCCACCTTATATTATAAAACAAAAAGATAACAGCAGTGGTAGCTCGGCTTTAATTTTTGTCAATAGGTATTACTAAGTATTTAAATCAATATTTCACTAGGTGTTGCCCGCGACTTTGCCCACGTAAAATTAAAAAATAAAAACAGAAGTAAGTAGCCTATGTGTTCTTCCAGACTATAATCAAATTTCATCGAAATCCGTTCAACCGTTTAGACTACAAACTCTAACAAACATCCATCCATCCATCTAAACTTTCGCATTTGTAATATTAGTATGATTTTAGTGATACTAGTTTATTTAAAACAAAATAGAGGAGGTTATTATAATTTTGTAAAATGTCAATTGTTTCTCATGACAATTGATATATGATATACCAGTGAAAAAATGTTGTTCACTGCCTAGTCTATATACTTCAAATGTCTGCATTAACCTATCACTAGGCATAGCATCACAGGTCGCATCTAAACTGGATATTATGCGCTGTCAGGTATACGCGATGCGGGTTCAGTGCGGAGGGACACGTGACGTCACGTCTGCACGCGTACGGCGCCCCACCCAAAACACTACGTCTACCCAACGAG